GCATCAAGTCCATGGTCCTGACCTCATCCATACCAGCCCTCTTGAGCCCCACGGATTTTGTGTCCCTCTCTGTCACAGGCAACACAATCACTACATATTTATTTGGGGGACTGTCACCCCACATCCTTTCTTGTTGCCGAAACTACATGGCAAATGGGATTCTGAGGACAGTCATTTCCCTATCCCATCTCTCTTATATGTGACTGAAAACCGATTGTCTTGTCTTCTGAGCGAGAAATATCCTATCAACAAAAAGATGCTTCTCCGCAGTCCCTCGCTCCCAAATCCTTCCCCTTCTATTCTTCTTGTTTGACCCAAGACAGACTTTCAAGACCTCTTACTGAGAAATTATCAAAACCAGTCACTTTGTCTCCCCAAGTCTTTGTGCCTCTGCTTTAACTCCATCCTCACAGGGCTGCATCAGCCAGTCTCCTGAGTCAATTCTCCTGCTCTTTCTTCTGTCTGAACCTCACTGATTCCTTCCAGCTCACAGCCCTATTTCCTTGGAAACTTAGGTTCAGCTCATGTTGGGAAGTTTGAAAAGGTTAGGATAGAAGAAATAGAAGAAGACAAAAGGGTAGAAACACTTCAAACTTATGGAAACATTTTGGCTTGTTATTTGGTACCATGTGACAAATGTGTTTTGTGGACTGAATATGCAAAGCAATGAGGAAATTCGTGTGTGTGTGTGTGTGTGTGTGTGTGTGTCTGTGTATTTTCAAAAACAAAGAAAGGATAGATCACAAACTAATATAGTGAGTTATACATTGGGAGTCAATGTAGATTTGATCATCTAATAGCTCTCTAGAATTTTGCATCTATAGTGTGGTTATATAAAATTTTTATCCTTAGAAAACATAAGATATAAAATAAACATGCCAAAGAGTACGACTTCTACAACCTACTGTCAAATGATTCAGATAAAAATAATCATATGTATGTGTAGGTGTGTGTCTGTGTGTCTGTGTATTGGGGGAGAGATGCAGACAGTGACGGAGAGAGAATAAAATAAAACCAATTTGTCACGAGTTAGAAGTTATCACTTGAAGGTAAAGAGTCATTTTCTTTTCCCTAATCGAACATCCATCACTTCTCAAAGCTCTGGATGAGCCAGAAGCCTTGATCCTCATTCCTAATCTCTGTCTCTGGTTGCTGATAGGTTTAAAGCCCTGAAGATTTGCTGATAATTGTGCCCTAGGGAAGACTGGTGGTGTTTAACTGAAGTCCTCCATCTTCTGCCATGGGTTTGGAGTGCTGGTGAGCAAGCAGTTCCACACAGTTCCTCTTGGGTTGAAGTATTGCTCTTGTGTTGTTACTATGAGGATTCATTGCGTGCTGACGTGTATGTTCTTGTGAAATAGACATTTTAAATTTCTTCATCTGCGGAACTGTTGAGTAACCACTAGATTAATCTCTAAGGTCCTTTCTCCCACCAAAATTCCTCTGTCATATTGTACTTCCTTGACCTTCATAATGTAGAAATTCAATGATCTGGCCACACATTCCACTAACACTTGAGAGAGAAAAACTTTATTTGTTCATGACGAGATGAAGTTAAGCCTCTTGTCAAGCTTGTGCCTTTCTGCCTAACTTTAATTTCTTAGTTGAGCCTAGAATTGCAAGAAGCTTATTATAACAAGAATTCTAAAAATACTAACACCGTGCCTGAGATGGCTCACATTCTTCCAAGTAGAAGGGCATTGCTGAAATAATTGCAATGTTGCCAGACGAACGCCTTCGGTTTCCTCATTTCTTGGGCCTGCTGTCTGCTCCAGGAATTCGGGGTTGCTGGCCTGCTTGGTTAGCTTGTGCTGTGGTCCTCGGTTCGGGAAGAGTCACCGCCCTCTCTCCAGAGACAACAGCGCTGTGTGCTTTGTATGTGACTGGATGCACATTGGGAATTATTTTCTATTCTTGCTCTGCGCTGAGGAGACTTTGAAAGGGACTGACCCTAGCGCAGATGGAAGCTGCGGCTGTGAGCTGACACGTGACAGACATGGGGAGTTCGCAGGATTGGAGGCTTTAGACGACAGAATGACCCAGATCTCACCTCCAAACGCAGCAAGACCGCAGGGAAGGAAGTGGCTTCTGGGATGGCATCAGCGACTCTCAGGGACACCAAGGCCCAGTGACGTATCAAATGCAGTTTGTCATCTTACAGGAAAAAGAGATTGAATTTGTGTTATACTTAATTCACTCGGTACGCATGCTTTACATCCTTATCGTATAGTAGGTACCGTGATCCACAAGTCAAACCTCTGCTCTCAGGAAATTAGATGGTAAGGAAAAATTAACTTCTAAAATTTACTAAAAATTTAAAGATAGCAATTAGTTTAGACACAAAATTTACGTGATATTTTCCAATAGAAAGAGGTGTATACATAAAACTAATCTTAAAATATATTGAAATTTCTTCTTCCTAGGCCATGCTCTTATTATTCTCATTTACTTTATAATCTGTCTTAGCGTCGTACAAAGCTGCTGTGTTCAAAATGGCACATGTTGCTGGGCAGAGTGTGTTTTTACTTTTGTCTGTGACATTCATCTAACTTCAAGTTTTTAAGACTCAGACAAACAGTGGGTGTTGACCACGTTGTTCATCCTCCCACACAGGCATTCAAGAGAGGTATTCATCGTGGAATAGGAAAAAGTTGATCCCATTAAAACTGGCTTTTCCTAAACAATATTGTCACTGTCTAAATGCTACGGTCTGGCCAACACTGGAAAAGTTTCCATGGTTTCAAGCTGTGTAATTTTTCCACCAATCAGCAATCTTTACTGTCTAAAATATCTCTCTCTAAATCTTCCCAGGAAAGCATGTCTTAGAAGGGAAAGATAGTGTTCTTTTACAAGCATCACTTAACAAAACTGTGTTTTACTGGGACTGATATTGATGTTTTCTGTTTAAGCTTTGCCTACCTATGCATATGTGTATTATATAAACGCATACAGAGAAGCTGATCAGAGCACTAGGTTTCTTTTTAGCCTTGGGAATGGTTATTATTCCAAGGTTTTAGAAGGTCGGAATATTTCTCTTGAAAAGAGCAAATGGTACGGAGAATAAGAAAATGTGGTTTCTACTTTTTCTGTATTTCATTCTCTTATCTAAGAACGGCAAGTAACCTTTGAACCACACTGCTGTTGTACCTTAAAGAAAAATTCCATAAAAACGAGTATTTAATCCATTTTTTAAAATCTCTTTTTGAAGAAAAAGTTCAGTGTTCCTGATTAGAAAGTATGGATCTTCACTGAGAAATATGATGGTCCATTTTCTTTGATAAAACCTGGAAAAATGCAAGTGTGATATGCATGCTCTATTGACACTGGAAGAATGCGTGCTTGTCTTCCTTTTGCTCTTTTTGACTTATTTCAGAAATTGCACAATCTTTTCTGTTAATGTACTTATTATTTGCTAAAGGATATAAAAAAAAATCCAAATAAAGTGCTCTTGAAAGTACTTCACAGTCAAGTTTTAAAGGCATATAATATCCATGCAACTTGCAGAATGAAAGATTAGCTTTTTTTTTAGATTTGCTTGATTTTTATGCATACGTGTCTTGCATGTATGTATATAGGTGCACCACGTGTATGCACGATGCCCACCTGGGTCAGAAGAGGAGATGGATCCCCTGGAGCTGGAGTGTGGATGGCTGTGAGCTGCCTTGAGGGTCTGGAAATCGAACCTGGGCCCTTTACAAGAACAAGCGCTCTTAACTGCTGAGTCATCTCTCCAACCCCAAGACTAAAGTTTTATTTTCTACAAGAGCCAAGGACAATGTTTCACTGATTTTTACACACACACACACACACACACACACACACACACACAATATATATATATACATATATGTATATGTATATATATATATAAACGTCATAGTCTTTTTGGTATTTGGAATATCGAAATGTATCACTCACACACAAAAGGACACACAACTTTCTGACTTGAACTCCGTTCTACTTAGGTCACTCACAATTGTTGTGATAAAACGCCATGACTAAAATCAATTTGAGGAGTAGATGGTTTACTGGCTTAAACTTCCATCATAGTCCATCATGAATGGAAGCCGGAGCAAGAACTCAGGCAGGAATACAGAGGCAGAAGCAGAAACAGAACAAGTCCTTAGCTCTGCTTCCTTGCTATCTGTCTGGGGATGGCGCCACCCACAGTAGGCTGGGCCCTCCCATTCTAACTATCAATAAGGAAAATGCCCCACAGGCTTGCCTACTGACCTGCCTAATGGAGGCATTCTCTCATTCATTTCCAGGCATTCATCTGGAAAGTGCTCTTTCCAGATGACTTTAGCTTTTGTCAATTTGACAAGGGGAAAAAAAAAAGGCGGACTCTGGTTGCTAAGGAAATATGATCAACAATGACCAATTAGGATCTCATGAAATTAAAGCTTTTGTCCAGCAAAGGAAACTGTCAATCAAGTGAAGAGACCCTACAGAATGGGAGAAGAGTTTAATCTGAAAAAAGAAAAATGGTATCTAAAACATAGAAAGAATGCAAAAAAAAAAACTAAACAGCAAGGAAACAACCAATCAAAAGTGGGCCATGGAACGCAAAGGAGAGTTCTCAAAAGAAGAAGTGCTAATGGCTGGTAAACAAGTTCAAAGTGTTCACCACCGGTGGCTAGTCAACAGGCAAAGGCAAATTAAAACTACCCTGAGACTCCATCTTGTGCCAGTGGCACAGAAATCCCTCCAGATGCTTAAACGCAAGATTCCTTCGTTCCCCGGACTGCGTGGCTGTCAGGAAGAAATGAAATGACAACAAATGATGCCTACAGTGTAGGAGAGAGGTTCCCTTGTGCACACTGCTGGTGGGGATGTGAACTGGTGTAAACACTGTGGAAATCAGTGTAGAGTTCCTACAGATGAGCCACACACTTCAGGGCAGTACCCAAGGGCTCCACATGATACCCCAGAGATACTTGCACATCCATGGTCACCGCTGCTGATGGCTGGGAAATGGAAAGTGTCTAGCTGCTCCCCAACTGAGGAGTGGATAACAGACGTGTATACAATAGGGCTTTATTTAATTGGAGATAAAAAATGAAATTATGAAATTTACAAGCAAATAGATGGAGCTGAAAAAAATTAAACCGACCAGTGAGACAAACGCTGTGTCTTCTCTCTCATATGTGGCCCTTAGCTTTGCCTCTGTAGCCTGCTGTGTTTAAACTGGAGAACTGTAAAGTCAGGAACTAGAAAAAGGCCATTGTGTGGGGAAAATCTCGAGGGCAGGATGGTAAAGCAGGCACTATGAAAGCAGGAAAGGGTGTGGATATATGGTTTGAATGCTGTTTGGTTTTGTGCTCTTTGTTCAGTAGGGGAGTATTTTCAGTTCCTGCTGGTATCTTAGGAAAAATTTAATTTTTCCCCGATCTTAAAAAAAAAAAAATACTAAAGGAAAAAACAAAGAACAAAGTAGAGAGACATCCCAGAAGGGAGGACACAGCTCCTCCCCTCACCCCGCTTTGAGGATGTGCGATCTCTACTCCTCTTGCTGTTGGTACAAACTGGAAGGCTTAAAACAAAGGGATTTCGTTTTTATAGTTAGATAGGTCAGAAGTCTGACTGGCGTGGCTGAGGGATAAAACGAAGAGACAGCACAGATGCATTCCTTTCGGGAAGTTTTAAAAACGGATCCGTTTCCTGGCCATTCCAGCTTCTAAAAGCTACCCACATTCCTTGGCCGCTGGTCCCTTTTCTCCACCTTCCAACCCCTTTACTTCTGCTCCCAAGGCTATTTCACTGAGGTTGCTTCTCACCACAGCGGGGAAGAATCCCCCAGTTTAGCTCCTGTGTGATGAGATTCTACTCATCGAGAAATCTCAAGCACCTCACCCAGGCCCCTTTTGTCCTGTAAGGTGACTTATCTTCACAGGGTGTTAGATTCAAATGTGGATGTTTTCAGGAGGGCAATATTCTGTTTACACAACTGACATCTTGTGACTTGAGTATGACTGTTCTGTTCGCTTCGAAACAAGAATGACTTGCGCAGAAATCCTTTCAGAAGCATCCAGTCAAGGGCAAGGTTTTAAGGAAAGAAATTTGCCGGCTTTTCTTTGTTGTTGTTGCACTGTTAGAAAAGCTGGCCGCTGAAGAGGCTGCTTTCTATGCACGGTTCTCTCTAGAAGCTCATCCCTCTTTATTTAATATGCAGAGGTCTGTGTGATTCAAAGTGGCATCATGTGCTCTTCAGTGTCACTCCCAAGAGTCTTCTCTTGCTGTTATTATATTGATTGGTATTGTTTCTCAAACAGATTTCAGAAGTAACTGTACTAGGAATTAAAAGTCACTAGTTAGGATTACATTAAACCCTTCGTTTAATACTTAAACTTTTAATTTCCAGGCCAGCTTGCTACAACCACAAGGGTTCCACATTGTGTGAAAAATAGTATTCCAGGTGTTTCTGTCAGGATTTGTGGAGTGGTGTTGACCTGGAATGCGGTAGAGTCTTCTTTTATTCCCGAATTGGGACTAGATATTATTTTTCCACGCAGTATATCCTGATCGCAATTTCTGCGTAGATTTCTTAACTAATGCACATTGCCCTCATCAATGATGTTATAATAATAGTTATGCTGGCCTGCCCTGTCCCTTTAAGGGACAAGCTCTGCCCACTCCCAACCTCCCCCTTCCCACTGAGGCAAGCTGGTCTCTGTTCTCTCTTCCTTCCTCTCTCTGTCTCTCTGTTAATCCTTCTTCTGAAGAGGCAGCTTCTGCTTCCCTCCTTCTCTCCCCACCCCCCTGTCCCTCTATCTCTCTCTCTTTCTCTCCCACACTCCCTGCCCTCCAATATCCTTCCAATACCCACTAAATAAACTCCCAGTACCCGAGCTCTCTCCGCATGGCCATGGCATACCTGTCTGTCTCCTCCCGGCCGTGGGACCTGCCAGGGTCACCCGCACCATGAACCATAACAAATGACACTGAATCTCTTTTAATACTTTCAATAAAGACCTGAAATGAACAAAAGTGAGACGCAGTTCTATAGCAGACAGGCACATTCTGGTTATAAAGCAACCTGTCTACAGCAGTGATTCTCAACCTTCCTAACGCTGTGACCCTTTAATACCGTTCCTCATGGTGTGGTGACCCCCAGCCATAAAATTACTCTTGTTGCTACTCAGTAACTGTAATTTTGCTGCTGTTATGAATCACAATGTAAATATCTCTGTTTTCTGATGGTCTTAGGTGACCCCTGTGATGGGGTTGTTAAACCCCCAAAGGGTTGCAACACACAGGGTGAGAACCACTGGCCCACAGGTGCCATCTGCCACACCGGCCTTTGAAGGGAGCTGTGGTGTGACTTCAGCCATCTACAATACGCCAGCCCAATCTACACTTACGGAAGCTCTGCTTCCATAACTGTGAAGAGCCCATTCCTTCTAAAATACTAATTTTGTATGAACAAAAAACACATACAGAAAGAATATTTGCCAGGCGGTGGTAGCACACGTCTTTAATCCCAGCACTTGGAAGGCAGAGGTAGGAGGATCTCTGTGAGTTTGAGGCCAGCCTGATCTACAGAGCAGGTTTCAGGGCAGTTAGGGCTACACACAGAGAAAGCTTCTCTTGAAAAGCCAAAAAAAAAATTGTAAATGTAACATTATTTAAACTTAATTATAAAGGCATGATGGCAAGAAGGGGGGATAACTTGGGGGAGGAAGGATGGAGGGAAACAAGGAAAGGAAGTGAGGGATGAGTGCTAACAAAGTAATGATATCCATGTAGGAAAATTAAAGGGCGTAGTGACACCCACTGTTTTGCATGCTAGTTTAAAAATCAATGCTAAGTGGATATAACAATAATCTGTATTCCTGTCTTCATCTCTGTCTCTGTCTTTCTGTCTCGCTCTCTCTTTCTAGGTGTGGTGTGTGTGTGTGTGTGTGTGAGAGAGAGAGAGAGAGAGAAAGAGAGAGAGAGAGAGAGAGAGAGAGAGAGAGAGACCCCAACCTATGGACTCTGGTTTTCTAGTTTTCTGGAGAGGTCTTATTAATGTCAGCACAAATAGCTCCTTTGATATATGAGGCACCTATTAACGTTGTCCTTGCTTTTTAAATCACTATTTTTAATTGATAAATCAATTGCATGCATTCGCAGACTAAATGTGATGATTTGGTATATGTGTAGAAAGCAGAATGACTAAATCATGATAATTAACACATCCATTATCTCACTCATCGCTTAGTTTATGTGCTGGGACACCGAAAAGTGTCTCCCTTGGTGATGCTGATACGCTATTATTGACTCTAGTCACCTTGCTGAGCGTTAGATCACAATCTTTCCTTCCTTCCAACGGTCCTCATTTTAGAAATGTAAAACATGAAGCGAGTGACTAGTTCAGTGTTTCATAGAGAGGATGAGTGCAAAGAAGACAGAAGACAGAGAGAGACGTGAGACTTGGGTTTGACATTCTTGACTGTGACTTTTCCTGGGGAGGCGTGCGTAAGTGTCTAGTCACACCAGGTAGAGCACCAGTGACAGACAAAGAAACAACTCTATCCAAGTATTAACTTAGTGAACCAATGAGGTTATTCAGGTGATTTGTGGGAGCATGGGCAAGGGGTTCCTTTCAGGAGCATGGACAACTCAAAGCAGCTGTGGTAGCGAAACTATTTGTTTCAACTTGAGGAAATGGTTAGCTGACCTTCTGAGTTCAAGTCTATCAGGAGAAGTATCTTGGTCCATCGTCTAAGTAAAAGAAAGGGACAGAAGTTTCCTACCTGCCATAGTATCCTAAGTGACCATAACAAAGTACCATAGACTGGGTGTTTTAGAACCTGAATGAATTCTCCAGTGACTCAACAGGCTGCCTCAAATTCACTATGCAGCCAGAAGGAGATCCTTGAAGTTCTGACTCCTCTAGCCTCCGTCCTCTGGGGACTAAGATTATACACATTGACCACCATAACCGGTTTCTGTAGTACTGAACATCAAAGCCGGGATACTGTTCAGACTTGGGCAGCATCCTACCAACTAAGCTCCATCCACAGCCCCTCCCAGAAGAGAGCTGTCACATGGGATTACGGTCTACCCTGAGGAACTCATCTTTAGCTGATTGGACTTACCCAGACCCTGTTTCCAAAGAGGGTGACATTTATGCCTTAAAAGTTTGTATTTTAAACCATCTTTAAGAGGAAACAAAATGATCTCTTTGGTGAAGCCAGAATCATAGAACTCTAACCTCTCACCTGTCATAGAGTTTATGTTGACACTAAAGCCGGTGCCCTCTGCAACCTGAATGGCCTGTATACCTTGGAGGTTTGTGGTCTGGTTTCACACTGAAAGTCATCCCCTTGAGAGCTAAAGCCCTAATACAAACCAGAGGAAGTTTCTGGTCAAGCATTGCCCATGGGAATGACAAAAGGGGACCCCTTTTTTCTTTGTTTCCGTTTTCACATCATGAACCACCATGTAAAGTTTTTAATCCTTTTCCTCCTGATTTACCTGGTGAGACCTGGTTCCACACAGCTGATTAATGAGCTCCTTCCCTAATCAGCAAATGAGATCACCAAAATGTAATATATACGGTACTAAAAGAAGTAAACCAATCCACCCTTCCTCACCCACCAGAGGAGGACACTATTGCCAACTGAGCTTAATTTTTATCTTAAGTTAAACCCATTAGAGACAGGGCCAGATAACCCCAAGTATCAGTATCGTGTAGTCATATTTCTCAATCTAATATGATATTTATATAACCCACAAAAATACACGTGGGACAGTTTATTTTGATTTGCATTTGCTGTCCCTAATTATAACCAGTACAGAGGAGAAAGCTCCCCAACAAAGGAACCCTCCCTCTCTTATAACTCAGAGGAATCTGGTACAGATTATGACCTAGAAAACATTTGCTCTTTGCCCTAGCTAGTAAATAAACTCATGAGAGAAAGTCCGTGCATCTTCCTTGGTCTGGTTAACCAGCTGCTTAACCACCTCAATTCTGCTTCCTCAAGACAGCACTCCTCCCTCCCAGCATTTCAGTTGCCCACAAAGCCACTGCAGGCTTTGCTTGGGCAGCTGTCAATGCCTAGTCCTGAATATTGAACAGACAGTTACACATAGAGCAATCATCGTCTTAATCAAATAATGTTTCATGTCCTTGAAACTTGGCAATAAAATTCAGAGAGCCTTTTTCAGAAGCTGTGCCTTCTCCCTGCAATGCTCATGACCTATTTCTGACTTTCATTTTCTGTACCATCTGAGACTTCAAGCACCGCCACGGCTTGATAATTGCAGGAATGCATTTTTATGAGGAGTGTGATTAATTTGTCTCCATCCTCTTTTTTAATAAAATCAATGGGGAAACATTTTAGAGCAGGGATTGCTGCGTCACTCACTGCATTAAGCTGAGTATCCAGCGCCCGTGAAGAGGAAGGTGAATAAACCATCCCGGGGAAGGGAAGTAGAGCTCCATTAATGAGAAAGCAATCCAATCAATCCTGTTCTAATTGAGTTATGAAGCCAAACCGTCCCTAAGGACGTTGAAAAGCATGGATTCTGATAAAAAGGATTGGATGACGAATACTGAACAATAGAATCAATCTTTATAAAGTAACTTGGCTCTCCTCATATTTTTGGAGAAGCATTATTTTCCAGAAATAGGTAAGTCGTAGTTTTATTTTTCACTTGACTTAAACTTCCTGGAGACATAATATAATATAGCATTCAAATCTGGACTCTAAAATTAGGCTTCCTGTAATCAAGGACAGACATTGCGATTGAGTAGCCATTTGTCCGTGGGTGGCTGAACCTTTGTAATGTTTCCTTAATTTTCTCGTCTATAAAAGAGAAACATGATGCAGCCCCTTCCTCCCATTGTGCTTGTGCAGATGCAGCAGGATGGTGCCCGCGAAATCTCAGAGAGTGCATGCACACCGTCCCTCAGTCGCTTGACCTCTGTGAGGAGGGAAAGCCATATATAGTCACTCTTACATATGGAAGAGGAAGTCTTATGTGCTGGCTACCCACGCTTCCTTTTTCTTAGCAGCAGGCAGAGGCGACGAACTTATCAATCTTCCTGAAATAAGCTGCATATCAGGGAAGTTTGGTAGCAAAGAATATATACTCGTGAGGTTCACTATCATGAAACTGTGAGAAAAACAAAGCGTTGTTTTGTCCTGCAGTGATTGATGTCACTAAACTATATGGTGACTACTTTTGCTTTGGCCAGCATTCAGAAACTTTACAAGACCTAATACAGAGAGGGGAGAGATGAAATTTTGTGTTCCTCCAGGAACCAAATAAGTAATTTATAAACATCTTTCCTATCCACAAACATTGCATATGTTTTCCATGAGTTTTAACTGTAAAAGATCTTCTAATTCCCATGATATCCTTTTGCAAGAGCCAATTATTCACAGCATGATGAGAAACCTGCACTCTGTTCTTGGCAGACGACCTTGGCGCTGGCCACCGCGGAAGCAGATGCTGTCTGCACAGCTATCCAAGAGGAGTAAGGAGCACTCCAAGGTCAGAGCTAGCTGAAAAACACCCCAGGAGGAAAAGCACATAACGCGAGGGATAGACCGGAGTGGTGGGAACCAGAGCTCTCATGGCTGTGATTCCCACAATGTAGCAGTGCCATGCCCCAGAGGAAGAAAGCAGCAAGCTTCCAGAATCTTCCACCATAAGATCTCCATTGAAAATTGCCAATCCTGCCCTGCCACTTGGTAATTAAGGTCCTCACACTTCATTCCAGTCTGTGAAACGTAACAGTTCTTCCTACTTTTCATTAAGAGCATATAATTTTTATATGATTCTTTATTCCAACTCTAACCTGAAAACCAAATGATTAACCCTGACACTAAAGAAACAGTAAAAGTCCATCCAATGCCAAAGGGCAGGAGGTCAAAGTGACCCCTGTGGTCCTAGCAAAGAGATCTCTGAAAGGGAGAGTATAGCTTATTTCACGTCCGCAAAAGAGCGGGAGGAAATGCCACATGAATGCTTCCATAATCCCCTCTTGCCCCCAGTCTTATGGTAGAAGTTAATCTTCAGAAAAGAAAAATGACATAAAGATCACCCAGTATCAAAGCTAAAATTGATCAAATAATTGATTTGCTCTAATTAAGACCAATTCTGCAACGAAATGAGAAACTGTGATGGTTTATAAAATTAATAAATAAATGCTTCTGACCCTATTGGGCGTGACTAGGAAGAAACTTCAGCTCTTAGCAGTTCTGTTTATGCCCATGTCCCATCAACTAGGAAACACGCAGACTAAGGTCTAGGGGTGTATCTCAGCGACTGAGTGCTAGTCCTCAGATCAATTCCTACCCGTAATCCATAGAAATGCACCCCTCTCAGCCACAACCAATTCCCATGTTTTAAACCTGCTTTAGCTTCTACCATTAATCAAAACACCTGAGAGCTGCCATCTAGAAGAAAGGACTTCTTTAATGTGCAGTTTCAGAGAGTTCAGCCTAGCATTGGTTGGTCCTGTGTGCTTGGGTAGAACATCATGGCAGAAGGAGCTTATATATGGCAGAGAAGAGCTATTGATTTCATGGTCAAGCCGGAGTGAGACAGGAAGCTTCTAGGGGTAACATAGCCTCCATGGCCCTTCCCCCAGTGGCTTACTTCCTCCAGTTGATCTAAAGGTCCCAGCACCCCTGAAATAGTGACACCAGCTAAGGACCAAGCGTTCCTGTAATGAACCTATGGGAAGCATTTCATAATCAAACCATAGTAAAACGTCGTCTCTGTCTCTGTGCTTGTCAGTGGCGAGAACACCCTACACAGAGACTACGGGAATGCATCAAGCAAGCAGAGGAGGCGTGGTTTTTAACCGCCTGCTAATAAAGTTCGGGCAGGCAAGTTTCTTGAAACGGAGTCAAGGATTCCGGGAGGCAGCTGTTATCATTGGCCTCCAGTCGATAAGAGAGTCTAGTTTTCACAGCTGGACCAAATGTTCTTAAGTTTGGAGGCTGTTTTCCAGCACAAGGGCCAAGGGGAAATAGGAAGATGACGTTATTGCATCCCTTCTTTCTGTAAATGAGAGGAATGGCTTTTCCCCCAGAATCAGAGTGCAGTTTAGAAAAATTACAAGTTTGTATTGTTTATATTTATGTGGGGAACTATAAATATTTATAATAATAAAATCTTTATCACAGTGATGGGTAGCTAGAGCTTCTCACCTCTCTCTCCTCCCCTTCCACTCTGTGTGTGTATGTATCTCTGCATGTGCATGTGTGTGTGTGTCTGCGTGTATCTACATGTGCGTGCATGTCTGCGTGTGTCTACATATATGTATCTGCATTGTGCATGTCTGCATGTGCCTGTGTGTGTCTGCATGTGCACATGGGTGTCTGCATGTGTCTACATGCATGTGTCTGTGTGTGTGCATGTGCACATGGGTGTCTGCATGTGTGTGTCTACGTGTGTGTCTGCGTATGTCTGCATGTGTGTGTCTTCTTGTGCCTGTGTGTGTCTGCATGTGCACATGTGTGTCCGTGTGTACATGTGTCTGCATGTGTATGTGTCTGCGTGTGTGTGTTTGTGTGTGTGTCTGTGTATATGTGCACGTGTGTGAGTGTGTGTGTGTGTTTCATGGACTCCAAGGTACTAAAATATTTTCTGCTTGCACCTACCTATCTTGTACTTCCTTTCAACTTCTTGAAGTATCTCAGACAGAAAATATTCAAAACAAGCTTCCTTCCCTCACCCCCACCCTCACCACCTTGCCGTTACCCATCTGGCTCTAGTTTTTCATCGAGTTTCCTATTTCCTTTACACCAGCATGAGCCTGGTTAGTCCCATCTCCAAAACGTGCTCAGAGTCTGACCATTTCTCTTTTAAGCCACCATTCTTACTGTGGTCCCACCGGGGCTCAGCTGGGTCACTTAAAACAGCATCCTCCATAGCTCTACGCTTACCCGCTTGGTTCTCAGATTGGACTCTCCCCACATAAAGACCACTAACAAAGGGTCAGTTAGGTAGTTCTCAGCCACGGTACCCTTCTAAACGAGTTGTCCATAGTTATATTTGCCGTGCTTTGGATGTGACTGTCCCCCAGAGCATATGTATTAAGATCTGGTCCCAAGCAGGGCTCTGCTGAATGCTGGTGAACGCTCCAGGAAGGGAGCCTCGTGAGAGGTCTTTGGGTCCCTGGACATGTGCCCTTGAAGGGGACTGTGGAATCTCTGTGTACTTCCCCAAGGTCATGTAAAAAAAAAAAAAAATGGTCTCATCGCTCCACCTTGAAAAGACAAGGACTCCCCTTTCCCGGTACAAGCAATATTCTCTCCACCGTGCTGCTTCCTCTCCCTGCATTACCTCAACCAAAGTTCAGCAATAAGGTCCCGGGCAACACCTGCGTTGTCATAACGACTGCCGTTTTTCTAAGGATCTCAGACGACCCTCTACTAAAGTCAAGGAAATTGCTCTCAGCCTGGAAATACCCTTGCTCACGCTCCGGCATTGCTGAAATTCCATCCAGGAGAGCATGCTGCCCCTGATTAGAATTCCTCCCAGACGCAAGGTCCAAACCAAAGTCAAGAATGAAAATATGATTTTATCCAAATCAGAGGAATTGCATACTTCTGAACATTTTAAAGTTCAGATTTTCTTGTTTGCATAGGAAAAAAGCAATGTACCTTTTCAAGAAGATGCTAAAATTTATTGAAATATTGTTTGGAATATAGATAGCATAAAGGCGAGTATGTGCTAATGAAGAAAACAATCTGTAGACTCTAGGAGTTAAAAATTAGTTAATAAATGAAATACTTAAGTGCTTGCTGAAGCTATGTGCATGCCTGTCATCTCAACAAGTCAGAGCAGGATGCCAGGCATTTCTGGACCTGAAGAGACTGGCTGGGAGAATGTGATGGGCTCCTGGGAGGACTGGGGACTGTAAGAGGGAGGGGCCTGCATGATCAGGGGAAACTCTGATGCAGTTGCTTCTCAAAGATAGCACCGAGGCCCATTCACTAAGCCGAGCCTGTACATGGACAATTTTAATGAATTATTCTCTTTAATCCTCACTGCATCCCTACCAGCTACATTTGCTGACTCATTCCCATCTTACACATGGAAAGCCTGGGGCTCGGAAGCTTGGCGATTTGTCCAAGGACACAAAGCACAGAGTGACCTGGCTGGCATTCAAACCCAGAGTCTGCAGACGGGGTCAGAAGCTTGTCCCTGCGTTCTGCTGTTTCTTGGCCAATACTGAAAACAATTAAATTAGCAACTAAAACGCTGCTTTCCGATCATTTCCTATGGGAACAGAAGAACTGCCGGCTTCCCTGTCTCCCCTGGAGGACTAGAACACCAGGAACGAGTTCATTGGCTCTGGGAGAAGAAAGAACAGTTTCCTTTTCTGGGTGTCTTTTCTTTCCTTGTAAAATGTGTCAATATCAGCATCCACAAATGTTATGAAAACGGAGTGGATATGCAGACAGGAAATAACCTAACAGGAAAACCCACTGGCCCTGGCCCCCCGCACTGACCTTTTTCTGCCATCTGAAGGGGCTGACTGGCATTTCTCTGAGTCTGGTCTCCAGCCTGTTTGTCAGGAATTGTGGAAATCCTCCTCTTCCTGCAGGCTGTAGGAGCGTGAAGACAGAAAATCCTTAGATATAGAAAATGTTTGGTAAGTCTGGACCTTGACTTTTATTACAAAAACCCATCTGGCAACCACAGACGCTGGCTGTTAGCATTCTGAATAAATAGAAGACAGCTGTCTGAAAAGACGGCAAAATAAAAACGCTATCTCAAATAAACAGGTCACGCCAAAATTAAAATCACACCAAGCGAAGTGATCTTTATAACATATAAAATAAAATAGCACACATGAAAGTAAACAGTCACCACCTGAACTGTAAACCCAAATTTAGTGATTTGCTACATTAGGAAACACACAGAAGTTAGATAACAAGGGTAGAGTTCAAGTAAGATGAGGTATGACAGTAAGCTCCGTAGTTCACTAATAGAACAGTAAAAGCCAAGAACATAGAATGAATTTATGTGTGGTTAGAGGGGAAAGCAACTACCAACTGAATATTATCAGTCTGTCATGAAAAATTAAATTTAAGTCAAGGATTCTAAAAATGTATACATATATTTCTTAGTGTGTGTGTGTGTGTGTGTGTGTGTGTGTGTTGCATGCAAATGAGTACAGAAATCTAATGTCATCATTGGGTGTCTTTCCTTCATTACTCTTCAACTTATTTTTTGAGCCAGGCTCTCTTCCTAAGTGTGAAGCTCATTGACTTGGCTGGACTGGGTAGCCAATGAGTTTCAGGGTCTGCTATGGTCACGCCCTCCCTCTGACCCAAAGTTTCAGGTGACAGACTTCCACTGCCATGCCTACATGTTCTGGGTTCTGAGTATTCAAACTCAGGTCTTTGTGCTTATGACGGAGACTCTTTAGGCACTCCGCAATCTCTCCAGCCTTGATTGGCAAGGTTGCTACTGACGGATCTGCCTAGGACTTCCTCAGATTCAGAGATCCGTCACTTACCAGTTCTTGCAGTGTTCAGCAAAGCTAGTACCAGGCAGAGAATTCTTCTAACGCAAACAACTTTGCAGGCCATATTTGATTTCATCAGAGGTCCATAAAAGCAGAAAAAAAAATATTTTTCCACATATAATTGATTCTTGACTGCTTTAATAAAATAAAATGAAAAAATTGGACAGCAACATCTTCTAATGCCGAGTGACAGCTTGGGGACTGGGGATCTTTGATGTGATTTATGTTATCAAAAGAGAGTCCCAAGATCAAAGCGCTTTATGAAGAAGCAGACTGTCTTCAGGCGAGGTGCGCATGCTCCGCAAGGCAGAGCTTTGTTTAGTGGGCTTCGTGGTAAGGAGTAGCCGAACAAACCTTCCAAAGAACAACCTGAGAAGAGTCGGGTCTCTCAAACACTCCTGTGTTCGGCAGCGTGCCTGACAGTAGCCAGCCTAAGGAATGGGTCTCTGGCCTCTTTTGTCTGCCTCTATTGCCTTGGCTAGGTGATTTCTCTGGAATATGTGCTTATTTTAATATCCCGCAGCGTGTCCACATTGTGTTTGTGCTGAACATTTTATCTAAATTGAGGCCTGTGTTACGCTGTTTGTTTCTCTATTTGGGAATATGTGACTTTTGTCGACTGTGGAGATGAAGACACATTGCTCCTCCCACGCTGGCCACCTCTCCCTCTTTCCAGTCTGTCTTTGTAGATCTCCTGGTAGATGCATACAGGTCTTCCCTAGCCTTCCTTCCGATAAAGCTTGTGGCCCGCACTCTTTGAGAACCGTTCCTCGTTCACACAGCCAGCGGTCTCTTAACTCCTGTGCTCTTAACTTAGGTAACTTACGTAACTGTTATTTTTAAGAACTCAGTTTTGAAAAACAGAATTTCATTTTGTCTTTTGCTCCCATGGTCTCTTGTTCTAGTCCATATAAACGTCCTTCGACAAGGAAAGTTCTCCGACTTTCTTCTGGTATTTGAAGGACTGCGCGCACATTGTCTGTGTTGTTCCCCTGCATCGTATATAGGATCAGTTGTTGAAGGAATTTCCTGCTTCTTTAGTCTATAAACTCTGGTGCATGGCAAATGAGCTCCTTCCGTTTGAATTTAACTTATTTTAGGGAGTCTTATTTTTCACTAGTGTCTTCACACTGTTGGCTACTTAAGGTGACCCTCCTGAAATTTGGGATGTCTTTTTTTTTTTTCACACCCAGGGATACTTGAGCACCGGCTTTTATATTACTCTCTTATCTAGTGATTCTACGCTTGCCGCATGCTGAAAATTTGAACTCCCACCCATAATGGCATATCGGTAGAGGGTTTTATTGATCTGAAATATTTTTCCCCTGGCAATAGATGAAAAACTGAGCTTCCTTGTCAAGCACTGGCTCAAAGGGCAGATAGTTAATGTCCACCTGTCATGGAAGCTTCACAATTCTATCATCCATGCTTTATTGGAAGTTTTTTTTCTCCATAAAGAATCTTTGCTTTCTAAAATTCATGTGCAGATATTGAAATTCAAGTCTGGGGGCTGTTTCCACTCCCTTCCACCTCTGTTCAGAGCTCTTCCATGCTTACTGACCTAAACTCTAATCCATTTTTGAAAAATTAAAATGTTATTGTGGTGTCTGGGCCTTTCTTTCTTTGCCATGTTCTCAGTGTTAACTTTTAGTGCCAGCATATACTTTACCAAGCATCTCCGACACAGTGGGAGGGTTTGGCACCTATTTGGCACATCATTTAATGGATCTGAAACTCTGTGGGTGATTTCTTCTATTTATGTGGATTTAAAATTCCACGTGCATCTTAACAGTTCCTCAATTATATATACTCCAAGATCAGTGTGGCTTTCAACGGGGTGGCTCTTTGGCCAACTAGAGGGCATTTGGTCATGCCCATGGGAATTTCTGGTTGTCATAACAGGAGAGGCCACTCCTGGCTCATGGTGAGTAGAAGCCAAAGAGCTGCTAAACAACCTATACGAGCCACAGCAGACGTTTATCACCCATCAGATGCCAACAGTAAGAGCCTGGTGGCCTTTGTGGACTTTCTATCACTCCTCCGTTTTCCAGACCTCCCCCTCCCCGCTTGAATTCATATTTACATGTGTTAAGCTAAATATTGGTTAAGGTTTTATTCGCCAGATTATTTTTCGTTCATCTCTCCCATCCTGCCGAGTGGCAAGCACCATTGAAACTGACTACTCAGCTCAGAAATGTGGTGGCCATTCTTAAAACCTCATTAACCCCGTTCTGCTGATCAGACTGGTTAAATATGAGCTCATCGTTCACCTCTTGCCCTCCGAGCTTACCTTCCTTGTTCTCTCAAATGCTTCCTGGCCACCTCTTCCAGCCTTGCCAGTCCCGGGTTCATTTTCCATATGATCTGTATGATTGTCACACTGGGAATCTAACAAACACTCGGTTTCCTCAGCAGGGCATTCATGACCTTAGCCCCCCAAGCTCTTGAACCCTCACGTGTTTCATATGTTTCTGTATCCAGGGCTACAAGTTCTTAGAATGGCCTAATAATTTCTGAGTCTCTCTCCTCAGGACTTTTGGGTTTGTCTTGCCATCAGTGTTCTTATGGCTTAAGTATTTTGCTATTCTGAGCTGGAAACCAGGTGTGTCAGGTCTTTGTTATGGAATGAGATTGAAAAATTAGCAATTATAAACCAATTACTGTTCAAGGAAGACAATGGATAAGCCAAATTTACAGAACTCTGTGTTGTAACAGTTAACTCTTTGTAAAATGATTTCTTTTTTTGTCAACTATTCCTTTGAGAAAGAGAAGCTCTCTCTCACTTCTGTTAAGGCAGAGGTCTGAACTTCATAAGAAAGAATATAATCTTCAGAAAATGTATTTCATCCAACAAAATAAATCTGTACTGAGGTCATGAATTTTATTCTACTATGCCTATCACAAAGTAAACTCAGCTGTGTTTGATGCTGTGTCCTGCTATGCTGCATGGAGAACCCCATATTCTTAAAATCTGTGCTTATCTCGGCAAGAGTTGTGTATATATTGATCTTTCAACTTCCTCCAACCCTCAGTAAAAAGGCTCTGAAATTTAAACCAACTGCGTAGACTTTGAGTTGTTGGATATATATTGTGTTGTCCTAGTTAGGCTGATATTGCTCTGATCGCAGATCACAAGGCTATCACTCCAGAAATATTTCAATCAAAATAATAATATCAAGTCTTGAAAAGTATCAGCCTTTAATCTTGAAAATAAACTGACTTCTTGCACTCTAGGCAAAAGACTTCCTTCCCAGTAAAGAGCTGATTTTCTGAGTGTAAATTCGGCCTGGGTTCTTGCCTACCTCTTGCGTTAAAGCACACTAACTGGCCAGTCAACCAGGGCTGCATTGGCCATTATGTCTACTTGCAAACTAGCAAATCCCACTTTTAACCTAACAACACAATGGAAAATGAAGTGGAAATGCTGTGATTTTAAGGGTGCTTTGGCCTCTTTTGTTCTGCGGACTTTGACAGCTTTCACACCATAGCAGCCCCATGGCCCTTTGTCCGAAATCACATCAAATGTAAAGAATGGCTTTACATTGTGATTTCCTCACCAGAGCAATTCAAAGGAATCAAGGAAAATGCTCATCAAGGCTTGGGACAGAACGAAGTATTTGTTTTTTGTGTGCCCTCATTTTGTCCAACTCAGCATCATGACAGACGGATTGGGCTTGCACATCCAAGTCTATGCTCTCTTTGTCTCCGTTAATCAAGAAGCCCAAACCCATGCTGAGCACTTATCTTGTTCAGTATCAGCAACTGGTAGTAGGGGCCTTCGAAGATCATTACCTCACAAACCTGACATGTAAAAGATATCAGGAAAGTCACGGTGACTCCCACAGGTGTCAATTAATCAGTTTTACGTGTGGCTGTGGTAACTGCAAAATATCTCATTGCAGGCGCCAATACAGATTCTCTCAGGGAAGCCATGGGGACAAGGTCAAAAGAGCTCAGGGTGGAGCAAGGAGACTTGTGTGACCTAATTTTCACAAAAGTAAGTGACAAGGTCAGACAGGCTCAGACCTGAGGTCAAATCAGTGCAGCCAGTTCCTGCCTAGTTGATCCTGAATTCTCCACTAGTTTTTGTTTGTTGGATAGGGTTAAAATGAAGA